TGGTTGTAACTGTAATTTTAGCTAGTGACGTGAGATATGAAACATCGTTGATCACGCAATCGATTTAATATTTCTACTAGAACCGACCACCTATAACAACATATCAATTTATATCAGTGTTCTACGTTTTCTGAATCCAGCATCGAAACCAATGTGGAAATAATCCATTCACCTCAAGGATCTTCTGTCAGAATAATTAGTCGGAACCAACAATAAACACTTATCAGAGCGGCATTGATAAGCTCTCTTGTATGGAAAGTCCAAGCCGCGATTAATGTTATTGTTCTTGCATGCATCACGCGAGCTATTCTATCAATTAGCACAGCAACCGAATTCCAGACACAGCTGACGATGCTGTCGTAGCCGGTGGGTAATTTTAAGTCAGTGAAAAAGCTGACATAGTGACGAGTGCTTATTTATTCTTATAGGCTGTACGATTGGGGGTAATGAACAACGCCGGTTAGAGACTTCGGCAAAAAAGTGACTAAAGAGAATGGGGTTATTTCCAGCCCCTAATGACACACTTATAAGGGAACAATTTATACCAATTCGTCTAACATTGTTTCCGCAAACACATTTGCTTGTCTCATGAATGATGAGAACTCACCGTTGTAAACGATCAATTTGATTGACTAATTCTATCGCGGTGTATTCCTTTTGTTCTTCCGACATGCCTTCCATCGGATTCGGACGTGGTAGTTCCCATCGTCCAGTGACCGGGTTAATGTTTTCCCTTAGTTTAGCATATTCTTCCGTATCGGATTCACTGGAAGCGGTAGAGTACTCATCAGCCGAGTCGTCTGGTCCGAACAAACCAGAACGATCAACCGACGCGGAAGTGATGGAGGAGGAGGCATCCGCACTAACCTGTGAACTGTCTTCTGTTTGTCCACCGTCCGCTTCACGTGAACGCTTTTTGCTAGATCGACCAAGTAAAGCGTGACTGGCCAAGAATCCAGCGAAGTTACCGAAACCGGTATATTTAACGGCACGCCCAACTGTGCGAATGAAGAAAAGATTACGTAGTCACATACATAACACTTAGGCAAACCAAAATTAAAAACTAAACTATGGCTCATGGAAGAGGTGCAAAACCCCAGCTCATAAAGCATAGGTCAAAACTAATACACAGAAGATTATGATAAACGAGAAAAAATGTATGGCATCAGTCCGGTCGGAGATGAGTGCGCCACGTGTGTAACATAGACGAGGACCATAGAACTAAGAAAGGTATTACCGGGCGCTGCACTGATGAGATACCCAGAAGAGCATTGCAAGGGTCAGACATGAATTGTCGGTCATACAACAACGGAAGCGATTGGTCAACATCGACTCGAAGTTTTCATGACGCATGTCTTGAATGCGTCCTGAATGCCTTGAATGGGCAGTTTCGCGATGCAGGTAGTGACGAGATGTTCAAATTAGCCCCGACTGTGTTTTTAGTTTTTTTGAAAATCCTGACCAATGCATCACACAAACAATGCTGAAGACTTCCTCTGATCCGATGAATCGATTATGAGAGACACCAAATGATATGGCTTAGTACAACTATGGATGGGGATTGTGTGCTTACCTATTTTCTTGTGCACTTCATTTCCCACATTGTCTGGGTTGGATATTTTGACCAGCATATTTTACCGTTTTAAGTCCTCTCGAAATTTTATTTTTACAAGCTCTTTTGGGAAATTACAATTCTATTGTGGTGAGCGTGTCTCCACAGTTGATGAGAAGCCAATCTCTGGGGCTAAAACAGAATTGGTCAGCCGCAGACGAGTATTTGGTCTAATGCAGTTGAAAACCTGATTTGAAATTAGCCACATAAGACTGCCCC